AATAGGTAAACTTTCCTTATTGTTAGGCAAACTGTCCGTTAGGCAATGTGTTTTTAGGCAAACTGTCCTTAGGCAAAACGTCTTTAAGCAGATTGTCCGGGCACCGCATCTATTAGCAACGTAACACATTTGATCTATATGATCTAGTGTTGATCAATTTGTAATGAAATAATTCTGTATTTCAACAGTTTGCTAAAAGTGTTATCCACTTTTCTTGAAAATATTTTTCTAAAATCCCTAAAAATCTTCTTAAACAGATGTAAGACAAGTAGAAAATATTTTTTAAAAACCGTTTCAAGAGTATTAAAAGTATATCAATCACAAGTTCATTGGATCGGAAGTTTGCTAGTTTATTCAGATTTTCACGAGCTGCCTTGAAATAACTGTCCACGAAAAAAATCGTTTACTGCGCACGAAAATCGCTAAACTATCTCTTAATTATGCAACAGTCTGTTTGGTGTTATGTTAAATTTCAGTGATATCGATATGCTAGGTGATTCACCGATCGCGATTTACAATGATTGGATATCATTATGCGATTCAAACTGAACTCATAGCAATAAAACAGGATATTAAATGAATTTCAAAGCTGGAGCACCGTGCCTTTATCGTTTCATCAAACCGATAAGCTCACTTAACACTCGTAAACTGCATTAAGACGAGACTGTGATATGTCCGAGTTCATGCGATTGTACGATGTGAANTGAGTGATTCTTGAAAGACGATATATCGTCTTTCTCCTTTGTAAAGGGCACATTAAATTTCAACTCAGTTGCAAATGAAATTTTATTTCAGTCTTCTTGGTGATAACAATACATGATTAATAACATTACAAATGTTTTGTTGAAAGTGTCAATTTGATTGCTACTTGAATCTGCGAATATCAGCTTCCCACTTCTTCTTATGTAACGTATACATGCGCATCGCAACTCGTGCATCTACTATCTGAATAAAAGGACACCTTTATTAGCATGAAGGAACACTCGCAAACTACATTCAAATCTATATCTCTCTTCCTACTGTTAGCAGTACGAATATTCAACAATATAACGCCTTTCCATGATATTTTACGCCTGTATTGCAGACGTTTTTTTGAAAGCGAAAGAATCACATACTTGATTTCCAGCAAATCATCAATCATTCTCACTTTCTTCTAAAAATTTTTAGTTTAACTACTTCCGTAAACGATGCTGTCATTACTACTGAAAGGATGTTTCCTTCAAACAACGAATACAAATACATGTGTATTCGTGTTATACTGCAGACATATCGAAGTGAATGAAGAGCAGTCAAATCATCCAGGAAATGATCGTTCAGAGCAGAAAATCGTANGTAACAAGTGCAAAACAAACCGAATCATGCTCTCCCATTTGAATATCAATACCGAGAACATGCTTCGCCAGTAGTTTCAATGATGGCGTCTTCTTGACGTTAGCCATCTGTCGAAAGGGCATATATTTGGATGTATCTCGAGTCATTTTACGTGTGTGTGATAGATTGAGCACCTTTAATACGTCAAAGTCAGTTTGATTTCATTGGTGCTCACAGAATTGGGGAGAAGTGACCGTGAAATATAAATAGTTGATTTCATTCGGACGCACTGAGTATTTATCACAGAAAGCAGCAAAAAAGCACATTTCTTTTGCGGATCTCTTCAAAATGTTGCCTTTGAAATGTGAAATTTAGCATGAAATCATACCCTGAAGTCATTCTGAAGCGCATGACCAACAACAATTTTATCGGCCAATAATTTGTGAACCTCTTGTTGAACTTTTTCAAAAGACTCACCTATAATTGAAATAATCATTTCTAGCGTTATGAAACGGTACCGAATATCAATTATTATCGTACATATCTGCTGTGAAAATCAGATATTTGAAATATGCCTACTCAGGTAAGCTTTGCTTGACGATGAATGATTTCTTCCTCAATCCCAATCATAAATTCAAGAAGAGTGTTTATATCCCAAGGTAATCAACTGGCCTAGAGATACACATGACCTTTGATTGTACTAAGCAGAGCGGTTCGATAAATTTATGAAGTGGTTGAAGGAATGTTAAATGACTCTATGAATCACTTGAATGAATAAACGAAAAGAAACCATTTACGAGTGACGATGGCCTTATACCACTCACTTGACTGCGATAATCAGTGATGAATTGTTTCGGCTTGACATACTTATCATAAATACATTCACCATTCATATTAACCATCGACACTCTCGCCAATACATCCTCATTACCATCCATCCCAGCGCCCACATATTCACAATCCAAACCGATCGCCTTCGTTAT